GAGGAACCCCACGCAAGCACAGGGAGAACATGCAAACTCCATGCAGATAGTGTTGTGACTGGGATTCCAACCAGGGACCCCCAGTGCAGAAGTGCTAACCACTAAGCAATAGCCGATCAGAAGGAGGTCAGAAGCAGATTAAAAGAATCTTAGATCAAATGCAGGCTGAATGCACTTGAAAGCATTCTGCTTAATGCTTTTGAACCAATGCGTTATATTATTTGTTATTATTTATACAAAATGCATATTTTGGTAATAAACCTTTACAAACAATAAACATCCATGACAAATACCTTATTACTCTGTGACTGACTCCATCTAAGTAAATGTCCAAATGGAGCAATACAGAGCATAGTTTGGAAGGGGGAGGAGGCGTTGAGTCACTTCTCTGGCACATTACGTTGTGTGGATAATTTGAGCTTCAGCTATTGTGTTTTATAAACAAAAGGATATTTTTTCAGCACAGCAATTCAGGAAAGCTTGGTAAACATGGGAAGAGGAACTCAGTGCTACATCTGCTTCTTGTCATAGGTGACAACCCTTTGTTCTTGTCTCCCAATTGTCCTTCTGGCGTGTCATCCAGCCACAGGGGATTCCTAAGGAGACCACTATTGGCCATTTCAACACACATTTTGAAGGCATTGTCCACTGTAGTCACCATCAGAAAACCCTCCCTGGTAAATGCCATCACTGGAGCACATGCAAATAGACACAAAGCAGCTGCAAAAAGGCTGCAGAAGAACAGAAGCACTGGTGTATAACAAAGGATGAAAAAAGAGAACATATTTTTTTTTTTTTTTTTAAAGGGTATGTCATTTAGCTAGCGTTTATAGCTGCTCTAAGTAGAACATCACCTATTGGTGTAATTTATTTGCAACAAGTCTGTTGATTGTTGAGATGATAGCAGGAAATTTTCCCTGCTACATCAAATTCAGTGCCACCCATGAATGTGGAAATGTGTTGGTAAAACTTGTCGATTGTGGTATTATCTAACGTGGTTTTATGGTTTTGTCAAATTCGGCAAAATGTAGTCAAATACCCAAATATTGTTGGGCAGCACAGTGGCTCAGTGATTAGCACTTCTCCCTTGCAGCACAGGGGGACCCTGGTTCATATCTTGGTCCGGACACTATCTGCAAGGAGTTTGAATGTTCTCCACGTGCTTACGTGCGTTTCCCTCCACACTCCAAACACATGCTGGAAAGTGGATTGCTGTTATCTAAATTGGCCCTGTACGCAATAGGGACATTCAATTGTAATCTCCTTGACAGCAGGAACTAATGTGAGTGTGCAGTACATAAAGCACTGTGTAAAATGTTGGTGCTATATAAATACCTATAATAAATATACCTTGCATTCTAGGATTAATTTACCTTAGGTGTGGTAACTTTAGACACTGTATGCAGGCAAGTTTTTGACATTGCTGTTTTGTGGCCAATTTGAGTATACATGCAGCAATTTAGTAATGTTCACTTTCCAAAGTGTAGTATGTTTATTATATAATGTGCAGTAGACCATAGCAGCCTGTTACATGTTTAGTTTATTGCTTCAGATCAGTGAATGTGACACTTGCATTGGCTGCTGTGGTTTAATGCAGTTGAATAAACCTGTCAAATGTTTGTCCACATTCGGAAACCGAAAGATTTCTCTATTATTTTAAATCCTCAAAGTTACTGACCTAGCTAAATTAGAGATGACAAATAACCATTTATTCAATTTTTATTTCATGTATATTTATTTTTCAATTAAAATGAAGAACATTACCAGTCAGTGTTTAATTAAAAACATTATTAATGGGTTCTATGGTTCATCCATATTCTAGGAGTATAATATGATATAGACATTTTGCACTTTTATATCTGGGATGCGGCGTACGATTGGAAAGTGCTGATGTGAAACGGAGGAACAGACATATATTAGATGAAATCCTATCCCTGCTGTCCATATATTGATTGTCTCTTTGTTTTAGACTTTGTGAAATAATTGTTTCTGCTATTGTTGCAAAAAAAAAAGAGACACCATGTTGAAAAAAAACTTTGATGTGTCCAGTAGCAGTGTGGGATCTGAAAATAATTGATTATGCACACAAGCTCAGCTTGAATGGGGTGGGGTAAAGAGACATACTCTACAAAAGATTGCGACCTTTGCTGCAGCTGTACTAGTCAATGTACAGGACAAATATAACAGAATTATAAGATTGTTGTTTACATTTTAGCATTTTAGCAATCTGGTGCAAAAAATAAAAACTGTTAAAAAAAAGAGGACCATCTTAATAAATCACCAAATATGTTTATGAACAAACCATGATGGTTAAGTCAGATATAAACAACACATTCATACATTATAAGTTACACATTCCATGTGTTTTTTTTAATGTAAGCACAGTGTAAATACCTGACTTGGTATCGGTCTCTTGCAATCCCTGTACATCAGAACTCTAAAACTGGGAGGAAGAAGTAGCACAGGGAGGTAATCAAGTGTGCTTCAGTACAAGGGACTGTGTGCTGCTTCTCCTTTTACTGTTCAACCACAGGGTGGGGAAGAGGAGGGGACCTGTTAGTAAAAGGAAAACTGCAACAGGGGAAGATCAGGTCCCATTCCCTGCCAGGCAAAGCTGTGTAACTCTAAGGACTGGATACCTTAATTTTAAATAATTGCATTAACACCATGTGTTTCCTGCATGTTGAAATTTACTAACATTTATTGGAAATGTATTTGTACCTATTGTAATACAATTATTGAAAAATACTTTTGTGTCACTTACAATAACAAGCTAGATTGCTATCTTTTGCATTTTCTTTACTCTAGAAAATTATTTGCTGTGGCCTCTAAGGTACATACATTTGAAGTGAATCTGTTACAAATGTAGAACCTTCCTGCAAAGCAGCTATTCTCTTAAAGGCTGCACACTAAGCTTTGTGGCAGATTCACATTCATTGATCTGCATAATGCAAATATCTGTGTGTACATTAACAGAGTTATTCACAAAAGGGTGAAGAGTTTAAAAGTGAACAATCTAGGACAACATAGCTGATTTGAAATAATTCTCCAATTCAGCTCACTTTCCAGTTCAGCTATGTTGTCCTAGATTGTTCCCTTCTCTTGCCTTCTCCAAACACTTCACCCTTTTGTGAATAACCCTGTAAATGTTGTTTCCTTGAGTTATAAGGCGTTATAAGCAGTGGTGAATGAATCTTAGCAAATCAGTGGCCCTGATGAGAGAACTCTAACATTTGGTCATCTGGATATTTCAAATCTACCCAGCATATAAGGACAAGCTAAGAGGTTAACCTCCAAGTTCAGCTTTCTATGATGTAATATATCTAATAAAAAAGTACTGTAATTTAGGGCTGTGCAAATTAACGATTAGTTTCTCGATTAATCGTTAATCTTTTTGATCGATTACAATTTTGTTGATCGCTAATGAAAATACTCACCTCTCCGCCGGCTTCCGGGAGTCCCGTCGGAGATCCGGTGACGTCACGGACATCGACGTCACCGGAGTCCTCCCCTATTCCCCAAGTGGCTCCGTCGGCTAACGAAGTGAAGGGGGGAGGAGTCCGGTGACGTTGATGTCCCTAAGTGGCTCCGTCGGCTAACGAAGGGAAGGGGGGAGGAGTCCGGTGACGTCGATGTCCCCAAGTGGCTCCGTCGGCTAACGAAGGGAAGGGGGGAGGAGGTTAGGGGAACCACTGTACCTGCTCTGGCAACACTCCTCTCCTGTTATACCAATGGTACCTCAACCACTCAACCAGTGAATAACATAGAGTATGTGTCTCTTTGTTATACGCAAGGATACTGAGGGGATGAGCTGTGTAGTCGAAAAATATATGTGAGTGTCACCGGCATAGAGGATTGGAAGTCATGTGAGGTTATCAGCTGACCAAGGGAGGAAGTGTAGATTGAGAAGAGAAGGTGTCCAAGGACAGAGCCTTGGGGGACCCCTGCAGATAGAGGAAGAGGAATCGAACAGCGACTGCACCTGATCATATTCTGGGGTCTTTACCCACGTATGTGTAAATGTTTTTGGAAAGTTGATATACTGTATGTTTTTCATAAATATTCACTCCAGGAGAGTTATTTATTATATTTGAGGACTTATCGGTATATATCATTTAATGACTCTTTCCACAGCCGGGAGTAGGTCCATGCACAGGTGTACATTGTTTTGACATCATATACATTAATTGATGAAAAATGTTTTTGATTAATCGAACACGTAAATTTTAATCAGTAACAGCCCTACTGTAATTTCTTATTAGGTGTTCCCTTAATAAATCCTTATAGGGTATATTGTATCATAGGGTGCTGAAAAAAAACACCTCAAAATCCCGTTTTCTTACTATTTAAATAAAAGAGGAATACTTTTTGGTTTGGGGAAAATAGCCCACACTTTAGGATAAAGCATATTCTTTCTGTATGATATGAATGTGAACAGTAAGGAGTCACTTTTAAGTACCCAAGATAGAATAAGCTGGCACTCCTATTGCCCAAAGTGGACCAAATACTAATGTGAGGCCTTAGTCATAGCTCAAACTTTGACTAAGGCCTCAATGGCTGAAACACATTAGCATCCTGTCTGTGTCTGGATTTATATGCCTCTTTAAGACAACAAACTATTGATACAGATCTTCAGTGGTGTGCCAATTTTTTCTATCCTGGATGTTTCTTGGTGGGATAACTGGAGCCCTGCTATTGCATTGGCATTCTGCTAGCTGCAAACAGTCTAGGAGATAGAGCACACTTACTTTCTATGCATTTAATTGTGTTCCTGTTAAATACCCTCAGAATGTATCTGATTGCACAGCAGAGTGTATAGGTGATCCTTGGTGAATATCTGTTTGGCTCTGCACAGCTTGGCTCAATATTCTTAGGTTCCAGGCTTGGATAAACACATTTTCTGATGAAGGTTACTCGTATTATGATAATATGCAGTTGAAAAATTCTACAAAAAAAAAGGTGCGAGCATAAATACCAATACTGCATTGTTTTTCTTCCAGTTACACTCAGACCAGGACAGCGGAGATGGATCACTGAAATACATTTTGTCTGGAGATGGAGCGGGGGATGTATTTATAATCAATGAAAATACTGGCGACATCCAAGCAACAAAACGCCTGGATAGAGAAGAAAAGTCATCATATATATTACGTGCTCAAGCTGTGAACATAAAAACAGGGAGACCTGTTGAACCTGAGTCTGAGTTTGTCATCAAGATCCATGACATTAATGATAATGAGCCAAAATTTACTAGGGATGTATACACTGCCACTGTCCCAGAGATGTCTGAAGTGGGTAAGTGTGACTAGCATCATGAGAAATATGTATAATAAACATGTGTCTGGCAAAACGTATAATTTCTAAGCTTATACATATTGTCTGATCATTTCAATACGCCATACGCAATAGATCGCATGGTTAGGGGAATCCCCTGTACCTGCTCTGGCAACACTCCTCTCCTGTTATACCAATGGTACCTCAACCACTCAACCAGTGAATAACATAGAGTATGTGTCTCTTTGTTATACGCAAGGATACTGAGGGGATGAGCTGTGTAGTTGAAAAATATATGTGAGTGTCAGCGGCATAGAGGATTGGAAGCCATGTGAGGTTATCAGCTGACCAAGGGAGTAAGTGTAGATTGAGAAGAGAAGGTGTCCAAGGACAGAGCCTTGGGGGACCCCTGCAGATAGAGGAAGAGGAGTGGAGGAGTTAAATTTGTAGGTGACACTAAAAGAGTGCTTAGATAGGTAGGAGGAGGACCATGAGAGAGCAAAGACTTGTAGGCCAAGCGAGTGGAGTTTTTTGAGGAGCAGTGGGTGGTTAACTGTGTCAAAAGCAGCAGAAAGGTCTAATAGCAAGAGTAAGGAGTAGTGGCCATTGTTTTTAGCACTTAGTAAGTCATTAGTGAGTTTTAGGAGGGCGGTTTAAGTGGAGTGTTAGGGGCAAAAGCTGGAGTGTAAGGAGTCGAGGAGATTGTTATCAGTGAGGTGACGGTTCAGTCGGTTGTATATTAGGCGTTTTAGGGTTTTGGAGGTGAATGAGAGTAAGGAAATTGGTGTGAGATTGTTAAGGTTGGTGGGGTCCAGTGAGGGTTTATTGGGATGACCAGAGCATGTTTTAGAGGGGAGGGAAAGATGGCAGTAGAGAGGGAAAGATAAAAAATGTGAGTAAGAGAGTGTAGGATAGAGCAAGAAGGGGACCGAAGGTGTGGTGACGGAACAGGCTCCAGGGGGCAAGGAGTGAGGCGAGTGCCAGTGTTTTGTAACCTTTTCTGTAGTGACAGGGTCAAAAGGGGAAAGTAACAAGTGTGATGGTGGATCTGGTATGTTAATAGGGGAAGGTGACTGGACAGTGGAAATCTCATCCGGAATTGCATCTATTTTATTTTTCTAAATGAATGGCAAGGTCCTGTGCAGTGAATTAATTAGTGGGCGGAGGCGGTGGGGGACATATTAGAGAGTTAAAAGTAGAAAAGAGTTGACGAGGTCTGGATGAGAGTGTATTAATGAAAGTGACAAGATAAATCTGCTTGGCAGTGCCGAGGGAGGAATTATATTTTAGGAGGGCAACTTTATACAGTGTGAAGTCTTGCAGGTACCTAGTTTTACACCACATCGCTTGTGCAGCTATGTCTTTTAAGACTTCTGGTTTCTTCTGTTTGCCATGGTTGTAGTGGTCGCAGCTTAAGTCTGCACATGGTGAGAGGAGCCAAGGTGTCTAGGGAGGATGAGAGCGAACTGTTGAAGACAGAAGTAGCCAGGACAGGGCAGGGGTAAGATTTTGTCATAGAGGTAGTCAGTAGCAGAGTAGAGGAGAGAAGGGTTGAAGTGGCGAAGGTTTCTGCGGGTAACTGTGTGATGTTTAGGGGGATACAGGGCGTGCTTGTAATGTATCCTATCAAACATTCCATATTCTTCTGTATTATAACCTGTGCTGTGGAGATCTGATAGAGAAGGGCACAGAGAGTCTAATAGATTCCTGTTGCATTCCATTGCATTGAATACCCGAACAGCGACTGCACCTGATCACATTTGCATCTGATCATATTCTGGGCTCTTTACCCACGTATGTGTAAATGTTTTCGGAAAGTTGATATACTGTATGTTTTTCATAAATATTCACTCCAGGAGAGTTATTTATTATATTTGAGGACTTATCGGTATATATCATTTAATGACTCTTTCCACAGCCGGGAGTAGGTCCATGCACAGGTGTACATTGTTTTGACATCATATAGGGGTATATGTGCTCATATGTATTACATAGCTTGTTTTTATTTGATGTGGTATTCAGTGATTCAGGCAGCGCCTGGCAGTAATAAGGGCATTTTTGTGTTTTTAAGGGGTTATAGATTTTGTCTAGACATGTGATGTGTAATAAGGTCATACATTTATTTTCCATGTAGATGTGGTTATTTCAGGGAACACCAAGACTTTTAGAGTGATAGAGAGAACCTCTAAAAACAATGTTTCTTTATCTTACTTAGATACATCATGCACTCTAGAAGGATTGGTGCTGATATATATTTATTTCAGGATTATTAGTCATTACTAAGTGTGATCCTTTCAAATCATCTTTGGTTTCCCCCTTTTTTATTTATCTATGTCTAGATATGCAGTTTTTCACCAGCAATAAGTGCTTGTAAACCTAAGAACATTGCTAGGCATGCTTGTAATTTATCCTTAATAAAATAAGTGTAGAAAATTAGAACATCATCTACAACTGCAGGGATGAAAATTCTGGAAAACTAGAAATTGAGTGCTGCTGCAAGAAAACAAATGTGCATTTGTGGCCTCTGCTGATGGTTGATTTCAATATATATATCTTTATATGGAATAGGCCCAGATGCTATGCTTACCCCTGCTCACAACATATATCAGCAGATGACCTGGACATGGAACCACAGTCTGTTTCCAGACAGGTAGCACTCTGATTCTACTTCAAAGCCCTAAGGTGAATTTGTCTCAAAGCAGGCTTTCAAGTTGAGGGCTTTTCTATTAGGGCACGCAAAGCCAAGCAGCCCAACTAGCTAGCCCACCCGAGTGCCATGTGCCTTAGCATTGGCTAAGTATCCTGGGTTGGGTCACCTGCCTATCAGAGGTATATAAATAGGTATATGAATAGCACATAGCATGGGGATGGCAAGGGAAACTGTAAGAAAGAAGCTGTATTGAAGTCTTGTTATAATTTTATCACAACCTGACTCTTAACTTTAAAGTCCATTTCTACCTCTGTAAGTGAATAGCATTTATTGTGGTAATGTAGAGGTGCGGTGATGATGTATACATGTGCACATTTTCAGGACTCACATTGCTGGCTTTTTTCATGAATGTTTTATTAGGCCTAAAGCCTAAAAATGCAAAATTGTCTCCACAGGAAATTCAATCTGACACCAGAGTTGGATTGTAAAGCAGGCTGTAAACAGGTCCCGCCTCCCTGTGATTCTGTGTAATATGGCCACTAAACACCAGATTTTTCTTTGCACACAATACACTGTCCTGGGGGGTTGCCACTATGAATATTAATGAATGGGGGGTGAAGAGCTCAAAGATAATTCAATTATAATTTACACAGAGCACAGAGGTGGCCATTTCCAGGAGAATGCGAAGAGGAAAGATAACAAAAAACAACATGTTTCTGTGTTCATATACAGCAACTGAATATGTCTGCTTCATGTACACTTGGTGTACATTGCTGGTATATGTTTTTTTCTTTAAATACCTCCGCAAAGGTGGAAAGGATCTTTAAGCCTCTTAAGCAGGCAAGCAATTACCTAAGGAGGAAATTGCATTTTTTGGGGGGAGTTCTGTACATGCAGAATGCCACCAGTGTTGTCCCAATGGCAAGAAAGCCATATTTTCAATGTAAAAAAGAATCATAGCTATGTGCAGATTGAAATGGAAAGATAATTTTTATAAAGCCCAACTCCAAGTCAGGATAGATTTAAGACATAATACCTGTTGAGTTTTTATTGCTAGGAAGTAGTTTGTATTTCCACTAGGTGATGTGGAAATGGTGGCACTGTGAAGTGACTAACAGTGCAGGGCCACTTCAGACTGAAACTGAAGAGAGATAAGAACAGAAGTACCACCCCAAAGTGTTGAAATACAGAACACGTTTGTTCCAGTAAAAGGTTCAAGCAAACTCTATGTGGGGGTCATGTTAGGGGCTCAAGGGCATCTTCTTCATCAGGGCTTGATGTATTTGGGGAATATTTACAGGGTTATTATAAACACCTTGTAGGCTTGCTCATCAGCAGCTGGTTGTTGCAGCAGCTGCTGAATAACATGCCTGCAATGTGTTTATAATAACCTTGTTAATCATATACTTTCAGTTGCTGTAAAGCAGGGGTGGGGAACCTCCGGCCCTTTAGCTGTGGTGAAATTACAAATCCCATGAGGCATTGCAAGATTCTCACAGATATGACTCCCAGAGACAGATGCATCATGGGATTTGTAGTTTCACCACAGCTGGAGGGCCAGAGGTTCCCCACCCCTGCGGTAAAGGAAAGATTCACCTCAATGTCTGCCCCTGACAGCATTAGTCACCAGGACAGAAAAACACAGCACAAGACTTTTAACCTTACAGAACGCGTGGTGCAGTCTGTGTCCCCATTGGATGTCGCAACAAAAATTCAGGGGAACTCTATCCAATTGTGTCATAGACTGCAGTAAAAAAAACTGGCAGGGGTTTCCTTCCCTACTCTGTCCAAAAATGTAAAAGTAGAGTTTTGACTGGAGTTGGGCTTTAACAGTATTGTGTGTAGCAAATATATATGTTTTAGCAATTGCATTTTAACAACAGTGGATATACCTTTCTATTAATCAGTTGTCAAGGACAGATGTTTTGACCTAAAAAGTTCATAGAAACAAATACTGAATTCATTTAATTGAAAGTAATTTTTTTTGTGTTTATGGCAAAAAAGATAAAATGTAACAAAACAAAGTAACCATAGTAAAACATAAATATGTGTTATATAAATGCAAAGGGTATAGGAGACATTGCTTGAGGAAAATACATTCCAAAGAACTAAAATAATCATTTTAACTATAATTAATGAGAGAATGGGAAACTCATTCTAGAATGTTTACGTTTGCCTCTTGGTCAGAAACATTGTTTGAACACAGCAATTAAGGACAGAAACAAACTGAAAAATAGAAACATCACAAGTAAAAAAAAATCACAACTGTTACAAGCCAGTATAATGAAGCATGTAATCAAGATTAAAAGGAAACAGCAATTTGTACAAAGAAATAATGTTTTAATATGCTGATAAAGGTGTACAAAAGCAA